GGGGGGGGGGGAGGGATGTGCGGAAATAAAAAGGCATTGGATGCGAAGCAGATGGGAGGGAGGCCGGGGAGCCAACCGAACCGAGTGGGCTGAAAAAACGGAACACCAGACGGTGAAAATCTTGCTAAACGGCAGAGGTGGGTGGAGAAGCTGAGCTACAAAGGGATTGTTGATGGAAAATATTTATGCAAAGACAGCGCCAATTGCCAGCAGGGAATAATTTAACCAATTCCTGCTTTTAAAAAGATTCTCTCCCCACCGCCCCCCGGGTTTCTCTGCAGGAGATGCCCTTCTGGCCATTAAATGGTTTTTTGTTTTAATCCTGCCCCAAACTCAAGGTTCTGTGCATATTAATCATCCTTTCTGCTCTTCTTTTCCACACAACAACAACCCTTCGAGGTGGGTTGGGATGGGGAGAGAGAGAGAGAGAGACTAGCCCAAAGTCATCCGGCTGGCTTTCATGCTTAAAGCAGGACTAGAACTCACCATCTCCTGGTTATTGACCCAAAGTCACCCAGCTAGCTTTCATGGCTAAGGCGGGACTAGAACTCACTGTCTCCTGGTGAATTCTAGTCCCACCTTATGGTGACTGGCCCAAAGGTCATCCAGATGGCATTCATGCCTAAAGCAGGACTAGAACTCCACCGTCTCCTGGTGATTGGCCCGAAGTCACCCAGCCAGCTTTCATGTGTAAGTCAGTACTAGAACTCCCAGCCTCCTGGTTCCTAGTCCAACATTTTAACCTCTCCACCGAACTGACTCTCTTTCCTTTTTTTCTTAGCCAGTTTCTGCTTCGTTCTGGGGGTCTTTTGCGATCCTTCCCTTATTTCCCAAGCTGCTTTGGAACAGAAGTCATGGGAGCGGTCTTGGAAAGGGGTGCAAAATCTCCCTGGAAGCATCTGCCCTGTATCCCATTCGTTGGAAGGTTGTCACATTTTCCATTTCTCCTCCAGGCACGCCAGCAAGCTCAGCTCCGTCACCAGATGGCCGAAGACAGCAAAGGGGAGTATCTGTCCACGTTACAGAAGTTCAACCACGAGCAACGAGAACATTACCACACGCATATCCCCAATATTTTTCAGGTGAGGCTTCTCCTTGGCCAAATTGCAACCTCTCGCCATTGGGGCCTCCAAATTATTATTTTTTTGCAGCAAAAAGCAATACAGTCCTCGACTCATACGACCTCCATTCAGCCCAACGGATTCTGTGGATAAGGGAGGCGGTTGTTAAAAGTGAACTTTGCCCCATTTTACAACCTCCCCTGCCGCGGTGGTTAAGTGGATCACTACCATTGTTAATAACTTGGTTGTTAAGTGAATCCAGATTTCCCCGTTGAGTTTGCTGGTCAAAAGGTCGCAAAAGGGCATCACATCAGTGGTGGGATTCTACCAGTTCGGTTACCTAGAGATATTTTACAACACAAGAGTCTTCAAATACCAACTAAGATACTGCAATGTCCACAAGGCTGAGTTTCAAAACGTCTTTGCTTCCTGCAAAGAACGTCCGATTCACAGCTGGCTTTTATCTTCTTGAAGGAGGGGCCATTACCTTGCAGCCTTACTCCCGAGTCGCCTGTGCTGCTGCAGCTGCTCTTTCCTGCAAGCAGCCCTGCACACATGCGCACTTGGCACAGGCTCCTCGGGAACCTCCTCATCGCTGCTGCCAGCCCCCACAATCTCTGAAGGCAGCAGTCCACTCCCTAATGGTCCTGCCCCCCCCCATCTGAGTCCTCGCTCTCCTTAGCCGTCTACACCTGCTGCCGGCTAACCACAACAACTTCCAAAACTTAAAGAAGATTTATTAGGAGTAAACATGCCGGCGCTGCCTGGGTGTAGCTGACTCTGAGACACATCATTCATTGTCACCCTTGACCCTGGTTTCCCACCACCCCCTGGTTGTATCGTAATTCATATCCTCCAATGGGACACATCCATAGCCAAGAGTCATCAATCATACTCTCCAATTAAATCTTTGCGCGGCAGCAACTTCAGTCACCTAGTTACAATCTTTGAAAACATTTAGGGAATGCAAGCTGACCACTGCTTGCCCCTCCTTCCCTTTCTGTTGGCAACTCTAAAAAGACCATAGAAATATTTTATGAGTTGACACAATGCAATGATTCACTTAACAACGGTGGCAAGAAAAGTCATAAAATGGGACAAGGCTGACTTCACAACTGCCTTGCTTAGCAGCAGGGCTCAATTGTGTTCGTAAGTCGAGGGATTTCCTGTAGTGTTTGTTTCCAAAGCACAGGAGAAGACACACGCTGAAACTTTCAAATGTCCTAAACAAGCAAATATCTGTAATCATCTGATATCTCCTATCTTGGCTTCTAAGTTCTTCTTCTTTTGGTCATCTTCATAGCCTCCTTAAAGACTCAGAACAGCCGTTTCCCTCTGTGCCAAAAGTGGAATGGAAAATTCCCAAACCTGTCAAAAGAAGAATTTGGAGTGAGCAGCTTCTAATTTTGAAAAATAATCTCCCTGCGTGGGGTTTTTCCAGGAATTGTTCTCAGCCTTTCACTAACCAGTTGCAGAAGGAAATTAGGAAAAGCAGGAAGTGTGGATGGGGTGGGTTTTATAGGTCGTTGCCTTGGGGATGAAAGTTTCAGCTTCATTTTTGCTGTTTAACCTTCCTGGATAACAGATTTTAACAGATAATCAGAGTTGGAAGGGACCTTGTAGGTCACCCAGTCCAACCCCCCGCCCAAGCGGGAGACCCTACACCATTTCTGACAAATGGCAGTCCAATCTCTTCTTGAAAGTCTCAAGTGATGGCGCTCCCACAACTTCCGAGGGCAACTTCTGTTCCACGGGTTGATTGTTCTCACCGTCAGAAAGTTTCTCCTTATTTCCAGGTTGAATCTCTCCTTGTTCAGTTTCCATCCATTATTCCTTGTCTGGCCTTCTGAGCTGGGTTCTAATTGGAGTATTTGGGGGGTATTCTGTTTATTTATTTATTTTTAAATGTATTCAATTTTTGTAGGTGCCCATCTCAGTCAGTGATTCTGGGCAGCTTACAATTTTACAATTTTATTGGTCCCTTGTAAATTTATCTTTGTAAATACCATAATTTTTCCTTCCATTCACTTTGAGTTGTACTCCTAACAGGTGTAGACCTAACTTAATGAGGTGGCTGCAAGGACGGGGAAGATGATCCCTGGGAGATTTTTAACCTGTGGCTCCTTCCTCTTTCCAGAAAATCCAAGACATGGAAGAGAGACGGATCATCAGAATAGGGGAATCCATGAAAACGTTTGCCGAGGTGGATCGCCAGGTGACACCCATCATCGGGAAGTGCCTGGATGAGATCACCAAAGCAGTAGATTCCATTGATCCAAAGCATGTAAGTGGGCAGCTTTCTTCAAGACCTAGCATCGAACCTGGGTTTCAGAGGAAGGTTGATATTTAACCCAGTTCATCCTCAGGTGTAAACCATGTTTGTTTTGAAACTTGCAGCTCTTTATGGTTAAGGCAATGCATCTGTTATCCCCTTTCACTTACACGACGTCCTCTACTTACAACTGTTAGTTTAGGGACCGTTCAGTTACACAGGCACTGGAAGAAGTGACTTATAACCGGTCCTCGCACTTGTGACAACATCTGCACAGCCACATGATCAAAATTCGGCTGTTGGGCAACAGGTTCACATTTATGACGGTTACAATACCCCAGGGTTGTGCGATCGCCATTTTAAGACCTTCCCAGCCGGCATTCTGACAAGCAGAGTTTATGGAGGAAGCCAGATTCATTTCACAATTGCAGTGCTTTGCTCAACCACTGTGGCCCCCCCAAAAAAATTCATGCAATCAAGTGCAATTCACTTAACGGCCGTTTTGCTCAGCAGTGGAAGTTCTGGTCTTACTTGTTGGTCGTAAGTTGGAGGCCTGCTTGCATGCCATCTCCTGCAAGCCAGGGGTAGCCACCCTTTTGAGGGATGGAGATTACAAATTTGAACAGCGCAAATTCAGGAAACCGAGAGCGGTGCATTAACTCTGGATGTATCCGATTTCCTGTTTCCTGTCATGTTTGCAGCGTTAGGATGTTAGGGCAGGGGATGCGGCATGGCTTCGAGAAGATAAAGCCAAGGGTTCAAAAAATAAAATATCAAATAAAATTGGAAAAAGAAGAGGTAGAACATACAGGATGTCGCTTCCTTGGCTTTCATTGTTCCAGTTTGGAGCTTTTCCATTCTTAATTTCCTCTTCCTGGTCAAGTTTTGGAAGCGTTACCAAGTTGGGAACACATCCGCATGTCCTTTGCAAACAACGTTGTGTGCCTTGCTTCTTCCAAGGTGGGGAGCAGTTGACTCTCTTCCACCCAGGTGATTTAGAAAGGAATGAAAAGTGTTTGCTTTGCAACAGAAAGGTTGGGCTCCGTTGTGGTTGTAAGTTGAGGACTAGGTATCTGTAGTTAAGATTCTTGCCAAGGGCTGAATTTTGCCATCAGCCTTTAGATTCATTTGAACTGCCCGGCTTTCCCAATTTTCCCACGCTCGACCGAATTCTGGGATATTTTCTTAGCTGATAATCCTGAAACCTGCTGTGAGAACTGAAGAAGCTTCTCAGACGAGAAGCGAAACCTCTTCAAGGAAAAAAAAAAAAAGCAAGGAAGTCCGGTTGCCTTTTGAAAAAGCACCTTTGACCAGGATGGAGTGAGACTCTCCAGGGACTTTCTTAGTTGATAGTTCGCATCCTTTGCTGGTTCCTTCCAAGTTCTTGTGGTTCAAGGTCCTCAATTTATGACCCCGTTTTTTGTGTGTCCCATCCAGGATTCTCAGCTCGTGATCGATGCCTTCAAATCGGGCTTCGAACCTCCGGGAGATGTCGATTTTGAAGACTTCACCCAGCCGATCAAGCGAGCCGTTTCCGAATCGAGTCTCTCTAACTCCAAAGAGACCAAATCCGAATCCAGATTTTCCAGCAAGTCCAAGGGCAAATTATGGCCGTTTATGAAAAAAAGCAAGGTAGATATTACACCTTTTTTTTTCCTCCCCGAGTGCACACTTTGGCCTATAGTTGTTCACACTTTTTGTACAGTAGTTTTGCTACTTGTGAGTTTTTTTCTTTGAAATCCCAGCAGTGAAGTGTATTTTTTCTTCTTCTTCTCTTTTTCTCTCTTTCTCTCTTCTTCTTCTTTTCTTTTTTTTTTTAATTTTAAATAGAAATCAGTTTCTAAGAACTAATAGCTGATGGTCCTGTATGAAATTTAATGTAACAGATTTTCTTTTCATTGGCAAAGTTTTGTTTTTTTTAAATTTTCCGATGCATTTTCCTTTGAAATTATGGTGTTCTTTTCATTATAATTTATGTTTAGCTTTTAATGCCAAATTGATTTGAATTGGTTTAAAGTTAGTTTTGGCTCTGTTTCAGTTGTATCTTCGCCATGGTGGTTACAGGTAGTCCTTGACTTACAACCACAACTGAACCCAAAATTCCCATTGCTAAGTGAAGTGAACTTTGCTCCGTTTTACAACCTGTCTTGCCAGAGGCGTTCAAGGAATCATTGCTGTTTGTTAACTTATTCATGTGGTTGTTAAGTGAATTTGGCTTCCCCGTTGACTGTGCTAGTCAGAGGGTCACAAAAGGGAATCACACAACCACGGGACATTGCAGCCTTCATAAATACAAGCCAGTTGCCAAGCATCCAAATTTCGATCCCAGGACCATGATTGTAAGCATGAAAAACATGACTGTTTTTAAAAAGGGATAAGTCCCTTTTTAGTGCTGTAACTTCGACTGTGGTACAGTTGACTGTTGACTTCATTAAATGATCTGTTGTAAGTCAAGGATTACTTGTATTTTTTTTTTCAGACTTTCCTGCTCAATTCTAAATAATTGCTGTCCCTTCTTTTTTTTTTTTTTTCCATGCCTGCCTCAGTTGCTTCTCTGGTTCCATTGCTCGACCCTTTCCAGCTAATCCAATCATTAGGGAAGCAAGAAAGCCAATTTCTCCCTTGTTAAATTGGGCTAGAAGACCTAAGCATCTTCATTAGAACTTCATCCTTCCCAGTCCAACTAGGAAAATACGATTTATTTCCTCAACCCGCATGATCAATCTTTCGGCTAAACATTTGCTCCGCTGTCCACACCAGGTTTTTGGGGGTGGGGGTTGGCCCCTCACAGAGGAGGAAACCAGATACTGATGGACCACAGCCATGGGTCCTTCAACCCAACGTGTGACTTTTCCCCTTGTCCGTGGCCACTTGAAAATGGTATTGAGATGGGGAAAGCGAGAAGGAAGACCAAACTCTTTTGAAGTTGAGCTCAGCTTTCGTGCCTCATTTGCGGTTGGGACGATATCTATGGGTAACTTCTTGGCAAGCGTTTTGGGGCAGGGTAGCAAATGTTTGGGATGAGCAGGCCTACCTAACCCTCTTCACGTGCATCAGCTCCTCCTTTTCACCACCAGCATGATCAAAGCATGAACAAGGCATGCTCCTAGGTACTTCATCTTGTGTTGGGTTGGCCTCACTTCTGCAGATGTTGGTTTATCCCTCCTCCTGTGCCTTCCACATGATCAGCCGATGGGTTGGGTGTAGGATGAGTTTGGACCATTGGTCCTCCCCACATGTCACTGGAGCGTCATTTATGGATGTTTGTGGTTGCATCTCGTTCTTCGATGTCCACTGATGGTTTCCTTTAATTGATACAGGGATATTCCACTCTCATAATTCTTGGCCACAATGAAACAGGCAAGAGAATTCCAGTTGTTGGAAGTCTGTAGTTCTGCAGGACCCTCCCGGAATTCTCAACAAAGACCAAATGTTGGTTGGAAAAATCTGGGAACTGAAGTCCACCGTCTGAAGTCCAAATCTTTTCCAAATCCCAGAACTTCCAACAATGGTGTCTTCACTGTGGAATTTGGGAAGTTGACATTCACTCATCTGGGGATGGACTTCTTCAAGAGCTTTCATGACCCAACTAGGCAACATCTTCAGTGCCTTGAGTGCGACTCGGTCCCTGTCTAAATTCAGTAATTCAGAGCTTGGTTATTTTCTTGCGGACATTTCATTACCCTACTGGGCAACATCATCAGTGCTAGAAAGGAGCTAGCTTATACCCAGTGCTACATTCAAACACTGTTGATCGCAATAGCAATAGCACTTATATACCACTTTATAGTGCTTTTACAGCCCTCTCTCTCTAAGCGGTTTACAGAGTCAGCCTCTTGCCCCCAACAATCTGGGTCCTCATTTTACCAACCTTGGAAGGATGGAAGGCTGAGTCAACCTTGAGCCGTTCAGGATCGAACTGCTGACAGTCGGCAGTCAGCAGAATTAGCCTGCAATGCTGCATTCTAACCTGATGTTACCTAGTTGGGTAAATGAAACGCCTGCAAGCAAACCACCAAGCTCTACTACGGGATACAAGGAACAAGCCACACTCACTTGCACTGATGTTGTTACCTAGTTGGGTAATAAAATGTCTTGCAAGAAAACAACCAAGCTCACAGCTACTGTATATAAACAAGGAGCAAGCCACTTGAAGTTTCTGTATGCAGAAAACAAGCCACACTCCCTTCTAGCACTGATGACGTTACCTAGTTGGGTTAAGAAATGTCTGCAAGAAAACCCCCAAGCTCAGAGAGTGCCAAGGGCCCCACAGTTCAACCCTGAGCTACCAATATTCTCTTCTATCCATACTTTCCCATTTATTTAACACCCTAATTGGGAATGGAGGTTGGGAATCACCCTCTTTCTAGTTCCACCTTAGCTTCTCCTCCTGCATGCAGCATGGCAAGCAATCCTAGCATCTTAACCACTTACTTTAAAAAAAACCTGCTTTTTGATCATGCTTTCCTTTGGGAAAATATTTCTTTCCAATTCAAGACGCCAAACTTCCCCCTCCTCTCGTTTTCTTTCTCTCTTTTCCTGCCCCCCAAGCCACCTTCTGCTCTGCTTTCCTGATTTTAAAAAACAAACAAACCCCATGACGTCAGCAATTTTATTTTATTTTATTTGCTTTCCTTTGCTTTACCTTCATGGCTTTTCTTGGAAGCAATTCTTCCGAAATTTGATTTCAGCAGGTTTTGGGTTGTTGTTTTTTTTCTTCCCCTTATCTGTTTTGGTTTTGGTGCTTGTAAATTTGTTTGGCCTTTGTGTGTGTGTGTGTGTGTGTGTGTGTGCTCTGTGCTTATTTATTTATTTGGTTCCAGGTTTGGTTTTTTTTAACCTTTTGATTTCATTGTGTTGTTGTTGTTTTGTTTTCTTTTTTAATTCTATCACTTCTCCATCTCTTATACGTAGCTTATGTCCCTTTTAACACCCCCCTATCAGCCTCCTCCTCTGCCCCCTTCCTCTGCCTCGCCTTCTGCTCTTCCAAATGGCCCTCAGTCCCCCAAGCAGCCAAAGGAACCCCTCTCCCATCGCTTCAACGAGTTCATGACCTCCAAGCCCAAAATCCACTGCTTCAGGAGCCTAAAGCGCGGGGTAAGTTCTCTGGGTGTGTCTGTCGGCTTTCCTTCTCTTCTTCCATTGCACGTTCTGTTGTGACGTTTGGGTAAATCCGAGGGTTACGTCCACCTCCTTCCTTCCTTCCTTCCTTCCTTCCTTCCTTGTAGAGGGTTGTAGTGTGTGTGTGTCAGACCCGTAGCTCGGTGATGAGATGCCGAGAATTAGAATTTGACACGGGAGTCAAAAACCCCCACCGTGAAACCACACCAAAAAAAGTCACACAGACCTTTGCACACGGGAAACGATAGGACTGCTTTGAACTGCCCTGGTGAAGCCACACCTGGAATCCTACGTCCAGGTGTGGTCACCACGATAGAAAAAAAAGATGTTGAGACTCTAGAAAGAGTACAGAGAAGAACAACAAGGATGATTAGACATCTGGAGGCTAAAACCTATAAAGAACGGTTGCTGGAATTGGGTGGTCTAGTTTAGAGAAAAGACGGGCCTGGGGTGATGTGATAGCAGTCTTCCAATATTTGAGGGGCTGTCCCCAAAGAAGAGGGAGTCAATCTATTCTCCAAAGCACCAGAAGGCAGGACAAGAAGCAATGGATGGAAGCTAACCAAGGAGAGAAGCAACCTAGAACTAAGGAGGAACTTCCTAAAAGTGAGGACAATTAACCAGTGGAACTCCTTGCCACCAGAAGTTGTGGGTGCTCCATGACTGGAGGTTTTCAAGAAGAGATCGTTGAGTCACTTGTCTGGAATGATGTCTGGGACTCCTGCCTGAATAGTGGGTTGGACTAGAAGACCTTCAAGGTCCCTTCAACCCTAGGATTCTAGATTCTAGCCTGGCTTTTCCCAATCACGGGTATCCAAATACTGCAGGAGGTCTAATTCCCAACCTTGGGGAATGACACGGTGGGTTTTGCAATTCCACAGCAGGTAGGATTAAAAGGACTGTCTTGATTTACCAAAAAGGAGTTTATTTTCTGGTGGGGACTGGAAAGAGGGAAAAATATCTGATCCCTCTATCCAACAAACTCTTCATCTGCAATCACTCACGTCCCAGGACATGAATAAAATTAAATCTTGACAAATTAATTAATGGGCGATTGGATTCCAAGATCCCTTCCAACTCTGTTTTCCTGTTATTCCCGTTGGCCATCAAAACAGTCAAATCTGAGCAGTGTCTCTAGAGTCAGGGTAGTCCGGGACTTACGACCGTTCATTTAGTGACCAAAGTTGCACCAACACTGAAAAATGGTGCTTATTGCAATTTGTCGCAAATTGTTGTTCAGCGGATTTTCATTTGAATCTTTGTGGTTTCCGTTCCGATGGATGTTATTGACTCCTTCCCTTACCATTTAATTATCTCTTACCTCTTTTGCATCCAGAAAATGTGTTTTTAATCATTTGCCATGTTTTACTTTTGATTCTTTTCTCGATGTTGTGCATTGTGGGTGCACAATCTCATTGTGATTCGTCCAAGTTCAATACTTTTTCCAATCCGCCTGCCACAATGCCTAAAAAAAAATAATTAATTAATTTCTTCCTTTTTTTCAGCTTTTGGGGGATGTTGATTTTAGTATTATTTCAGCTCTGGTTTGCTTGCAGATTAATAGCGTGTGATTATTTTTCCCTGCAGCCCAAACCTGGTAGGTGGTTGGCATTATTTAGAAAGAAAAGTGAAATAAACTGTGTGGAGCAAGGGCTGTTTTTCATGTTTGGATGTTCACTCCCTCTGAAACCCCACCCAAGCTGGAAAATTTAATGTGGATTTCATTTATTTGGGATTAAGCAACTAGCTGGTGTTTTGTAGGATGGACTATTGAAAACTGCCATTTTTAAATTGGATGGATTATAATTCAGTGTCAAACAATCTCTCCAAAACTCTAAGAAACTTCTTGCCTCTAAAAAATTAGCCTGTCAAGGAACAAACTGCCAGGCTAGTTTTCTTAATGCAAGGAGTGTTAAATAATAATAATTATTACTTGTGGGGGGGAAACACTTGAGATTTTCCTGTGACTGGATAAATTATTCAGTTTTTCTGGCTTGGAATAAGACATTCAGCCCCTAATAAAAGATAACTCAAGCCATGGAAGCAATCATGAAAATTCACTAAATGAAGCATTTTGGTGCTTTTATGATGACAGCCAGGCAAGTGGGTTTTCTAAAGTCATCTAAGCCAATGTGGGGAAGTTTACAAAATGCAGTTTAATGCAATGCCGTTCTTCAACTACAGTTTGTTGATCAAACCTATGATACATTTGTCCTTGTTCTGTTTAAACCACCCGGTATAATAGATTAGAAGCATTGCATGGAATCAGGGTTAGTGACTGTTTCGTATTTAGTTAGTTAATTTTTTTAGCTAGATTTTCCCCCCCCCCTGGGATAGCTGTTTTCTCTGTCCTGCCCACTCCTCCTTGGTGTCAGGATTCTGGCAGTTACTCCAATTAAATCACGAGCCTCGAGCCACACTCCCAAAACTAAAAAAGATTTATTTGAAGGCAGCATTCTACATCTGGCATATACCTGGGTGTAGCCAACTCTGAGATACGTAATTCACGGTCACCCTTGATCCTGCTTTCCCACCCACCCCTCTGGGTGCATCATCCAACAAAACACATCCATAGCCAAGAGTCATCAATCACGCTCTCCAATTAGATTTTTGCGTGGCAGAAGCTTCAGTCATCTAATCAGTCTTTGAAGAAAATATGAATGGAATGTTCTTTCGATTCCACACTGCCGCCTGCTCTTTGAAACTCCCCCCCCCCCCTCTTTCTGTTGTCAACTGTAAAACGTGCATACAAAATGTTTTATGAGTTGACACTTGGATTATCAAGATATCTGCTCAGAATTTGCATCCAAAGGAGATGCTTCTCATATTAAAGGCTTCTCATGCTCAATGGGGGAAGGGGTGTCTCTGTGTCCCCTCTCTCTTTCTCAGCTCCTTTCTGAGATCCGGAGGACCGATACTGGTAGTCTTCAAGTTACGACCCTAATTGAGCCCAGAAGTACGGTCACTAATTGAGTCATCCTGTGACCAATCCGATTTTATGTCCTTTTTGGGGGGCGGGGCATGGTCGTTCAGCCAATGCCATGGACATTAAGCGAATCCACACCGCCGTTAAGGGAGCCCACGGTCATTAAGGCAACCCGATTGTCCGCAGTCAGGCATGACTCACTTAACAACTGTACTGCTTAGCGCTGGGTGTCCTGATTCCTGGTCATAAGCCTGAGGACTACCGTAAATTAGGTGATTCCCGGTTAACCGTCTCGCAGTTCAAATTATCCTTGTTTTTTTTGTTTTGTTTTGTTTTCATCACGCTCCGGCTAGAGGTAACCTTTATTGCTGTAAGAGGAATAAATGCAGCTCTCTTTTATTTTTATTTTTTTCCCCGTTCTTCCTCCTCCTCCTCCTCTTCCTCCTCCTTTCTTTTAACACCTGTATTTTCTTTTTGCTGACCCAGCAACAGTCTCAGTCTTTGTACTTTGACAAAGAACACATGAAGAAGCGTTTAGGCAGAGCCACCTATGCCGTGGAGGCTAGGGAATATATTGTAAGTCCCATGGATGCTGTGTGGACGGACGGCACAGCCACTGACGCGTTTGCAACGTTGCAAGGGGAGGACGTGGGCTTAGCTCCAAGATCCAGTTCGGCTCTCAGCAAACCCTGGGAGGTTGAAAAAAGCACCACCACCCCCCCAAATCCTGAAGGAGCTTCCTTCCGCCCACTCCAGGGCGTGAGCTGGGTTGCCTTGCGATTTAAAAAAAAAAATCACAAACATTGGAAAACCGAAGCAACTCTGGCGAACGGGGAAATAAAAAGCGAATGTGCCATTAAAGAGGCAGAATGGCCACTGCAGTGAAACTCTCTTTGCTGGTGTCCAGAAGATGGGAGAAGCAAAAAATGGCCATTTGGCAGAGTGATAGGCTGGGGTGAATATTGTTCTTGTTGTTGTTATTGTTGTTACTTGGTTGATGCCCAGAATGCTGGCAGCAACCTGTGTGATGACCCAGGGTGGGATACAAAACAAACACAGTCACAAAAAACAGGTGAAGCCCCTTTTATTCCTTCACTTTGCTTCCAAGCTCCAAATATCCTTGACTGGAGACAAAAAACTCCCACACAAACAGTTACAAGAAGGAAGAAATGCCGTTTAAACTAAAAATGCCATTTAAATTATAAAGAGTAAAAAACAACACAAACCAGGCAAGATAAGGGCTTGAAAACATCCACGGGTATCAGAACACACACTGGGGAGGACACCAAACTCAGAGATTAACAATAAACTAGAGATATTTCCACGCTTTGTTTCCAGCACTTGCCCATACGCATGTCCGTCCTCTTATCCAGTTGTCACAGCTGCAGCCCATGAAGAGGATCAAGGCCCTCTCCTCCCCAGTAGACCACGTCTCTCCCTTATCCTCTCCTCCCTGCGTGCCCTAGGATGGAGAAGGGATGGGCCTGGGTCCTCCTCTGACTGCCCAGCTGGCCTCTGCCCTTCCCTAGCCTCCTCCACAACCTCAGGAGCCACACTTCCACTCCCTGTCGGCTGTTCCTCTTCTCCCTCAGAGTCAGTCTCCACCAGGGGCATGACACCCATATCAACCATTAGCACAAGTCAATGGTATTTGTGATGCATTTTTGAATGCTCAGTTGACTGTGTTTCATTTTTAATGAATAAAGTATATGATAATAACAACAACAATAATAATAGCAACAATAATTGGGATTAATCGCAGTGCGATTTCTGGGACTTCCAGGCAGGTTAGAGCCAGGGAAGGGGATTGTTTCATGTGGACACTGGTTGGATTCTCGCAACCTTAAGGAGGAATTTCCTGACAGTGAGAAAAAATAATCAGCGTAACGACCTCTGAGGTCCCTCTGATTCTAAGAACCTGTTGGATCAGAAGTGGTAAATCTTCATGGATTTAATAAACACCACCATAAAGTTGGAACAAAACAGGAAGGTAGTCAGGCTGAGTTCTACACATGACTAGAGGCTATACATTTTTCTTAATTTTTTTTTT